GATGGACTTGTGGGAAAATGGCATGGAAAAGGCAAGCAGTGAAAATCATATCATTTTCTCTTTATAAGTGTAGAATTTTTACTTGGAAACTACTTTACAGGCCAAGGAAGAAAAAAAAAATCCGATTGGAAGAAATCGTGATTTTAGTAATCTAATCTCATATGACTTTTGGAATGGATATTAGATTAGTTATAATATTTTCTGGTCTTGTGTAATCATTGTTTTATTGATTCTTTTGTTGGAACTCTTTTTTCAACTTTCTTGACTTATATTAAAAATAATACTTTTCATTTACTAATGTCATTTTCTTTTTTATTTATTTTGTGGTTTATAATTTCAACTACTCATGCATTTTAGATAAGTTCATTGGATTTTTATTGTATTATCCAAGTTTTTTTTTTGGACAACTACTGTATTATTCAAGTTATCCAAACTCTTAGCTAATGGAAAATTAAAGTGGTACAATGTTTACCGTTTTTATTTGCACCGTTTTCTTTACATCTATTTAGTATTTACTAATTTTGAATTTCTTGTCGTTCCTGTTTACAGCTAAAAAACTTGTATCGTTTTGAATCACAATTTCTCAAATGAGTAAAATCTCTACAATCCGCAATCTCATTTGCTAATGTTTCCGTGGTTAAGACTCAAATCAGAACCATCCATTTGTTGTCCTAAGGAGCCACAAACCGTAGCCGTGGAAGTGATCGACAGGATCGGAGTAGAAATGGTCAGCAATAACGGCAAGCTTAACGTGAAGTACAAATATAGTCAAACCTGGTTTCGACTTCTTGTTCAGTGTATCACGATAGTATGTGCAAAATTTGATAATGATGATTCGATGTTCCAAGGTTTGAGCCATGATGCTTTTTTTATTATTTCAAATGGTTTTATAAAGAAACTCTACGATATTAGTTAAGTCAATGCTAAAGGTCAACGCGTAGAATTTTGTCAATGAAAAAGCGATGGAGGAAAATTCTAAGAAAGTTCACCATACCAATTTTCGTAAATAAATATGGATTTTTGTTTTTATAGTGACGCTTATCTATCAATTTCAAAATATACAACTTTTTTTTTTTTGCTAAACTTTTTCAATAATTTCTTTTTGGGTTTTTTGAGTTTATGATTACAACAATTGAAATAAACAAAATAAAGCCCGTTTAACCAAAATATAGAACAATAAATTTGTAGTAAACAGGAGATCAGAGAATTTCGTGTATTAGAGTACGAGTCCGAAATAAATGTTACAAAGTAGACCGCAGCTAATAGTTCGGACAGATCCCGGGCTATCAGATTGCTATAGATAAGAAAGAGTGTAGTAGGCCGGACATATCCCGGGCTACTCAGTTCGTTGCGAGCTAACAAAGGTATGTAGATTTTTTTGGTGTTTCCGGTCGGTGGTGACCTCCCGGCGAGCTCTCTGTCGGAGTCAGAGACCTGAACGGTAATGCTCTGGGTCATTTGTACTCTTTCTAGAGAAATGGAAGATGAATCATCACATCACGTTGTACTCCTATTTATAGTACAAGGTTGAGGGTACATCCTATGTTTTATTAACTGTAGTTACCGAATCTGACTCACGTTTAACCAGACTGCGGTTACTGTTTGAGTTGGCTATACTGTTTGTGGGCTGCGAATTGTTTAGGTCGCATAATCTAATGGGCCGCAGGTCTAGGCCCAACAAACTCCATCCAACAATCCTAGAATTGGGCATGGATTGGATCCCAAACCAAATGTGTTAATGGGCCTAGCCCATTCTAACCCATTAGCTAAAACGCAAAAACCCTAGCTCGTATAGGAGGAGAACCCAACCACCGACAGAGAGGATTTCAACGCCGCCGCACTGAACTCCGGTGGCCACAGAAGCCACCGGCTTAGATGGTGGATTTGATAGGAGATCCATCCAACCGCTGACTGATGGCATAATCCTGAGGCTCCAAACCGTACGAGCCAAACTAACCAATAGACCTCATGCCGAAAGCTCTAGGGGCTAGCAAAGCGGGCCAACAATCGGAACCAAAGGACCATCCAGTCATAGCCAGGAAGACAACGATCAACACCAAGCGCAACAACCAAAAGGAGAACGAGACGGAACAGTAATCTTCCTCTAGAACCCGGAGCAGATCCGAGATCTGTTACCGCAGATACGGAGTCCACAACCGCGAACATGGGCTACAAACCRGGSCAAGGAYGRGAAAGAGTGAACCGARGAGGCGAGGCGAAGCATCCYTWRG